CCCCAAAACCCCAAAACCCCAAAACCCCAAAAATAATCCAAAATTGCCCATATAAATAATTCAACAGGTATGTCATCCCAAGCCTTACACCTCTTCACAATTTTATACTATAAACTACCCAGATCTGTACATAGATTTAGGAATAAAGTCAGCCCAGCTTTATGTGGTGGTAGGGAGGGGCTGGGGGTAGGAGAAATGTTATGGTGGGGTTGGAGTCATGATTTGTGGTATAATTTTGCTGATCTGGAGGTTTAATGAGTATATTTGGCATAATTCAGCAAAAGGGTTGGGATATTATCTCAATAAGCATGTATGAATTATCCTATCATTTTGTCATATAGGTAGCATAGATGATTACAAAGAATATACAGAAATACAAAGGTGAGTAAAGGAATTACAAACAACATTTTGGATAAGGTAGTAATTTTTGTAGGAAATAGACGCAAAAGAAGCAAGAGAATTAAAAGAAGAGTCAGAAGCACACTTGGTGAAGCAGTTATTACACTTGAACCATGTAAGGATTAAGATTAGATAGACATTTAGCAAAATTCTTGAATTTTTAACATAATAGAAAGCTTTGCTATCGATTTCTGCATTTGTTTCTTGATAATTTATCAATATAGTAAAAATTAAGAATATTAACCCAAACTTTTCCTCTGAAGAGGAAGAAAGTATCGAAAAGCAACAAGAATTATCGAAAGAGAGCTCCGTAAAGAATCTGGATCCTCTCTGAAACACCTCTGTACCTGTCCATTTAAAATCAAAAGTGAACTATTTTTTCACTCCATACAACAACAAGTTTGAATTTTCGAATGGTAATCCTCTACTAGACTCTAACCTTTCTAGACCCTCTCCAGATTAACGAAGGGCAAAATTGGAAAGTTCTGACAGATTTCATCTGTGAAAATGACAGTACGAAATCCCTATAAAACCTCATAGAAACAAAGTTTATTGACAGATGAGAACTCATCAAACACAATTTAGAGATGGAAGGCTCTGAAAAGGAAATTAAATCTGTTAAATTAAGCTTGCGACCTGCTGGCAGGCCTAAAGCTAAAAAGTCCTTTAATAATCAAGCTGTAAAGATATTCGATGAAGAAGAGACCAGCCTGGATAGAAATTTGTCTTTCAGAGACCCTGCAGATTTCTTATGTGCTACACCTCATCATACAGTCAAACAGATCCATTCCCCTGTGATTAAGGAAGAAGGTAGGTTTTACACCACTTTATGTATTTTGCTTGTAAATTAATGAATTTTATGAAAATATAACTATAGAGTCCGATTCTGACGACTCAGTCTCAGGGTCTGGATCCCTTGTGAGGATACAGACGCATAAAATCAACATCCGCAGACCTAAAGAAAAGGAAAGTATCATTATGAAAGAGATTAACCATGGAATGAAAGCTCTATTAAAGAAGGAAGGCCTTCATAAACCTTCTCTGTTACATTCAAAAGTCAGCATTAATTCAATTCATGGATCCATATTAGAGGTAATCCTTGCTCATAAACTCTTAGGATTTCAGAAGTGGACTTGATAAGAGCTCGTTTAAAGATGATGGTTCTCCAAAGGGCTCTAAAAATCTTTCGCAAAATAAATCAAAGAGCAAATTTTTTGCAGGTAATTCACCAACTTATCCACTGCAGGACCTCCCAATGATAAGCCTAAACCTCTGAATTCATTTGAGGACTTTATGTTTGATATTAAGCCTACAATTTCAAGTAAGCTAGTCTTGATATTTGGCAGGCAAGGAAGACTCAGTGACCCCAAGGTCTAAGAAATCTAAAAGAAGTGTCCAGAGGTACTTATGTTTGGAATTATAAATTATGAGGACTTTGATAATTTTTGGAGAAAAATTCACCTATCTTTATTAGAAGCAAATTGATGCCTTCAAAAATTACTAACCTTGATATGGTCCTAAAGCAGCGGAAAATTAGGTAAGTTAAGACAACCATTCACCTAACTGTGATCCTACCTTGCTTATTACTTTAGAGAGACTTTAAAGGAGTATAAAAAAAGAATTAAAAATTTAAAAATTGCTAAAGTGGATATTTCAAAAGTACGCTTCCAGTAAAATCTTTGTAGGCTCACCAAAATATTCATAACGAAAATTTTGATACTCAAAATAAGATCAAGGAGAGATCTCTCAGGAAGATAATAATGAAGAGGTCTCAGGAAGGAAGAAGGAATCTGAAAAATATTGGGACTAATAAGCCTAGAGAAATTCTAAACTCCACTCTTCCCGAATTAGGGTACAAAACCCTCTTTTCAAACAATTTCAGTAAATAAGGTAGACTTTTGCTGTGATTGCTAGATGAGGATCAGAAATGTTAAAACACGTCAAGGACATAGACTCAAGAGGTAAAACAAGTCCCAGGAATATATAGATCTCTTGAAGTAATAGACAGAGCAAGTCTGGAGGGTAATTTTCCAACCAATCAATGCTAACTCTGATTTAGAAAAGAAGAAAATTCAAAATTTTTTAAACACCTCAGCCAAATTCAACAAATTATCCAAAAAGGCAAGTTGTCTTTATAAATATAGTAGGAGAAAAATGAAATGAAGAAGAGTAAAATATTCTACCCCAGTAAAAGAGTAATAAACTTAAATAATCTATTAGGTCTTGTTCAAATTCTTTGGAAAAATGAACAGAAGAAAGAAGGTTTGCTCACATTTTGAGATATATAGTACAACCTGGGCCGACTCTGCCTGAACCAGAATGCAGCCAGAAGAAAGAATATTAAGATGGTATGGAATTAATAAAGTTTAGAATTTGAACCTAAACCTAGTGAAGGATGAAGAATTGTAATTTTCAATTATCTTTTAAAATTTCGGGGTTTTGGGGTTTTGGGGTTTTGGGGTTTTGGGGTTTTGGGG